TTTGGTGATGGGAAACCCGTGGGGATTACAATTGAGATGAAAAAAAAAATGTGCAAAATGATGTAAAAATAAACTTTTTAATAAAATAAAAAAAAATATGTATTTGTTTACACATACAGAACTGGGGTACAGGACAAAGGTGCAGGGGCATTAAGAGGATTCACCAGAGACAGAGAGTGGAGCAGAACAGGCAGACTGATGAAGTTCACTACTGAGGGGAGCAGCAGTTGAGACAGGAGAGATCTGCTGCACTATATGGGTCAGCTCCCTGGCTGGGGATTGAACACCCTGAAGCCACTGTGGCTGGCTTGCAATGCTACATCCTAACCTGCTGTGCCACAGGGAGGGCCCTGTTCACTTTATTCTTAGTAACTTCCTGTATACATATAACTTATAAGAAAGAAAATAATGGCACCATTTTTAAAAATATATATACCATATATTCAATAATTAAATTACATCACATTTTACCATGACCTCTCACCATTTCTTTTCATCATTTCACAGCTTCTACAACTATTAAAAAGCAATATACCCCTGACATCAAAATGTACTAAATTCATTGACTTCATTGACTTATATTTCATTATTATATTTACTAATTTTTTGAGGTTTGCAACATACTTTATTATTTTTAGCAATGTGGTTATGATGTATCATCCATTCAATAATACATAAGGATAAAACCTCAGTGATTTTATTATATAATAAAAATATACTGCATGTCACATTCAAGCTTCTTCTAATTTAAGGAGGCCTCTTCAACAAACCTAAGCAAATATGTTTTTACACAAAGTAACTAGCATCCCGACTGACCAAAATTAATTAGACTAATTACTTGACACCGAATCACAAGTGTCTCTTTCCCCTAAAGGATACAAATCATATTTCAATGAAAGAAATTTTAATGGACATGCTAATGTTCTCCCCTTCAGTTCCAGGTTTATGCCTTCTACAGTTCTGAGGCACACTTCCACTTCAGTCTTTGTTTGTTGTTACCTTCTAGGAAGCTACACTGGAAAACTTTCTACAACACTCTCTTTCTGTCTCTCTCATTTCTTCTGCCCTCATTCCCTACCCACCCTCTCTCTTCAGTGCATTGTGAGGCTATTACAAAATAAACAGATTGAATAGCTTGTAAAAATAATATTTCACAGATTTGGACCCAGAGAAGTCCAATTTAAAGCACTGGCAGATTCAGTGTAATAGCTGGTGAGGATACTCTTAGTTCATAAAGGAAGCTATTACTGTGTCTGTACATAATAGAAGGAGCGGGTAGCTCTGTGGGATCTTCCTTATAAGATCACTTTCTCACTCATGAGGTGTTGACCTTCAGGATTTAAATATCTCCCCAAAACTCCACAATGGGCTTTAGAACTTTCTCTCTCTCATTTCTTTCAATAGTTTTCATAGAAAACACCTCTAGCCAGTACATATTTTATCATTAAGACTTCTTATGGGAAGTCAAGCACTTAGTATGAAGCAGATTGTTCCATTAAGCCTTTTTCCCCTGGACATGAACCTTCCTCTTTAAAAATATGTTAGACTTAGAACACAACTCACTTCAAAAACTTATCTTTCTCCATTGTCCTGTGTCACAGGTTTTCAAGTATCACTAGTCTACTCGATAGACTATAATGGTTAATAACCTCAATGTTTAATGCAATAAAACATATTTTTCCAAGTTCTCTGTGCTGCATGGTTCTAATTAAATATATAGTATTAATCGTCTTTAAACCTAAGCTGGATACAAAACATCGATAATGTTATTTTAACATTTTTACCATATGGTTCTTATATGAATTGTCACATAATTAATATAATCTGTGACATATATTTGAGTAATTATAATTAGATGATATAAAATATAACCATATTATGTTAGAAATAATGATCATGTCCATATTAATGTTTTAAATTTAATCATAATATATGAAAAATCTAAATGGTAAGATGATTTACACAATAGAATTATCACTGAGCAATTAAACACAAATCTGTTTCTTATTCACCCATTCATTTTCTACCTTAGAAAAATAATTTTGAAATATATGCTAGAATATAGGAGTGTGGTGGTTTGGTCTATTTTCCCCAGATGTCTGCAGTTTAATCTATACAAAATGAATATCTTTTTTTTTTTTTAAAGATTTATTTATTTATTTATACAGAACTGGGTTATAGGCCAGAGGCTCAGGGGCGGTGAGAGGCTTCACCAGAGACAGAGTGGGGAACAGAACAGGCAGATCGACGAAGTACACTGCTGAGGGGAGCAGCGGGCGGGCCAGGAGAGGTCTGCCACACCATGTGGTCACCTCCGGGGCAGGCAGGAATCGAACTCATGCGGAAGTGGCTTTAGTTTCTCAGTGCAGTGCTTTAACCCGCTGCACCACCAGGGAGGGCCCCAAAATGAATATCTTTTAACTTGCACTACTGTTGGACTATTTGGCAAGAATAAAATAGTTTCAGAACACAGACAGGGATGGAGGACCGACAGAGAAGAGTGCAAACAAAAGTGGCTTCAACTCTACATTAAGCATAAAACTGGGGTTAGGAGGAATCTGGGATATAGAGAGTTAATGCTAAAATAACTTCATAAATATGAAAATTAATAAGGCATAGTGTTAGCATGAGTAGTGGGAGGACAGTTGCCTTTAGTTTAAAAGAGTTGCTATTCAAAGAAAGTTAGTAGAAACAAATTTCTATCAACATATTATTTCTTGAAGAAAAACATCTATTATCTCAATAAGGACAAAGCTGAACATTTTATGGTGTGTACCTGTGAATTTGTGTCTAACCACTGAATACTGTCTGGAAGTATAATTGCTGGTAATTATATTTTTGCAGCTAGTTTTTATATTTAAATTTTTGTTAATTATTCATAGAAGAAGGGGACATAGAGCATATTGTAAAGCAACTCCCATTCTGAGGGACATGATTCATATTTTCATATTTAAAGTCTAGAACGTGCTGCCTGTTGCAAAGAAGACAGAGGTCATTTTGTAAAGATGTGTATAACGCTAAACCCAAAATCAGTAGGTTAAAAGAAAAAGTCAAAAGGAATATAAGGAGAGAATATAGTTACATAGTGTGACTAGTACACAAAATACATCTTGACTGATACAGTCACACATTTATAGTCAATGGCATATCTTCCTGATGAATTTGATGTAAACACATTTAGAAATATCATGGAAAGTGTTATTGTCTGCATATTACATATCCTAAGATGATTGTGCGACAGGGGACAGCAGAAACAGAAGACTGTCAGTAACAAATCTCTAGTGATCTTAAGGCAGATAATTATACTTTATCAACTTTGATAGCTGGGCTATTACAGCACACAGATTAAATGATGCAGCTTCAGCGGGCATATTCTCCTGCAAAAAGTTCTAGAAATTCACACCTGCCAATGTCTTGGCTGTAACAAGTCACTGACACCTAGAAAGGATATCCCAGGGTTATAGTAGCCCTCGTTCTCATCTACCTACAAACAGCATCTATGATATACCTAGAAATGTCCTTTCTCTGCATATAGGGATGATACTTTGTATAAGTTAATACCTAACTTTCCCATTCAAATGATTTACTTTAACATGAAAATTTAGGGAACACTTTATGACATGTGTGCTAACAATATAGCAAACCAAAGACACTTCCAAGTTAACCCCTAGTTATATCTCATCAGTAAAACTTTTCCAAAAAATTCACATTAAGGTGTAATCAGAAATATGTGCTTATGTCTTAATTTAAAAATCAACTCATTCCAGCTAGAACGGTCATCTGTAAAACTACCTTGAAGATCAATTTTTAGAACAGCCTAATATATGGAAACCAATGTGCTTCAATAAATATACTTTCATTGGCAAGCCCAGGGATGCAAGAACTCAAATACTACTACTATTTAGCAGTACGTATCCCAGTCCATAAGCAGCCTTATTTATTTTTGCTTCATTATAAATTTCAGTTATATGGCTAATGCTCTAGTTTCTATTATATCCAGAAATATTTGCATTTCTATTTGTGAAATGTGCACTCTGTAAATCCTGTAGAAGTAACTTTAAACCATAGCAAAATTGCCAGTTAGACAATCCCTGGGAGACACCACTCCCATAAGATACACCCCCACCAACATCCATGTCTTTGACACCTACCTGAAAGACTTCTTAATATCTTCTGCTTGGATTGTCTTGAGAATCTCTTGGTATAACTGAGAATCAAGTGTTCCTGAAGATGTAGCTTCTGAAGGACAACCTTTATGTGCATAATAGCCTATCAAAATTCCAAAAATGAGTATAATGATGGCTGTGCAAAGAACTTTTAAAAGGCGACAAAAGTTGCAGGTGGTACTTTTTGGTGCAGATCTTGTATAACGGGTAACATAATCAGAGTCTTCTTGAAGTCTCTGGAATCGTCCTTTTGGTGAAGTTGCAGGCTGAATGGACTCAATATTGAGGTCTGCGGTCTCTGAATTCTCCAGGTTTCTATTCTCAGAACTATCTAGTTGGAATTGGTCAAAACCAGGCTCTTCCAATTCTTTTTCCATGTCCCACTCTAAATCAAGGGCAGTGGCTTGAAGATCATCATTATCTAAAAACTGTGAATGTCCTGGAGGTCTTTGATCTGCACTGACCTTCTGATAGGCCATCTTTTTACCTGTGAAAATAAGAAAAAGTACATTTTCTTAAAATAAAAAAACAATAATGAGAATTCCCAAGGTGAAGACAAAGAAAAGAGTGAACCACATTTAATATTTTAATGTTCATAATAATGGAAAATAGACTGTATATTTGGAAAATACACATTAGTGAATTATTTGATATATATTTTGCTGTTGATACTATAGAGAAGTATAAAAAAATAAGAAAGGTACTTAGTGGAAAAGTTATAAGAAAACATACACAGCACACCAATAACCATGAAACTCAGGAGAATAAAAAAAATAACAAATTCAAAAATGTATTGAGAATAATGTACTACAATGAAGGCAAAATTAGGCAGAAGCAATAAAGCTCTTGTTTGGTAAATTTGAGGAAAAAATGAAAATACCTTCGAATAATTTATATACCAGAGTTAACTTTAAAAACACAACTTTATCTAAGAATAAGAAGAACCAAATGAAGTAGTTGTGGCATAGAAATAAAAAAGTCAAATATGGTATAATACATAATGCCACCATAATAGAGCAAGATATTTGATAGAATTAGTGACGTGAATCTGTTTAACTCATAGCACATTAAATAAAAACCTGGCATGACATCTATCCACAAAAGAAAGCTTTTTTTGCCTTACTAAGGGTTTGGTTTCATAACCTCGCCACAGGAATAGCAGATGGAGGTTTTTCTCTCTACACAGTTTTGGATGACAGTTTGTTGTATCCTGCAGAGTTGTATTAGGATAACAGAACTAATTAACTCTAAGTGGTCTTCAGTCTGTATTCAGCAAACCACTAGAGTATTATGGTTACAGATTAAGAATACTCATACTTAAATTTTCAGTGTATTAGATTTTTCACCCCAGCTGGGTTCTAAGGTCCCTCACTGTGTTTTCTGATTTTTCTATGTGGTCCATTGTGGTATGTAAAGAATTGAGCTCAACTGACAAGTGATTAGGTAATTGCCTTAGGGCCAATGGTTGAAAAGCAAACTTTAATAGAAGAGAAGGACTTTATGAAAGGTAATGATGTTGTGTACAGAATGTTGACAATACACAGCTCCAACACCATAGCAGAGGTCCAAAAAATTAAAATGCTCTGAATATTTAAGTTCAAATATTATTAAACATTCAAGATCACAAAATACAAATTATAATTCTGACAACAATTCTAATTTGCTAGTCTGGATTTAGTCTTACCCAGATTTTACTCAACAAAGAGGAATATCTAATGCATGTCAGGTAATGATACAGGTGATGAAGACAAAGATAAAGATAAATGGATCCCTATTCCTCCAGTAGGGAGAAATCCAATTAGAGGCAAATATAAATAAACCAAATAGAATAAGTAAAGTGCAAGGGCGGTTCAACAGTGATTGATTCTAGTAGAATATGGGAAAGAATTATTTAAGAACGTGACTGCTAAGAGACTCGTGACAAGAAAGGAGATGTTAGCTACATACAGACGGGGATGTGGAATAAGGAACTCCAAGCAGGAAAAAATTTACAATCATGCAGAGCTATGAAAATGTATAGTACATAGAACATCTGAATAGCCCAGAATAGTATGCCATGACTGAGATGGAGTTCACTAGCCAGATATTAAGAGAAATATTTAAAGAAGTGTGAGCTTGAGGAAAAAGACTTAGCTTTTCTGCAACCTAGTGTCTTCTTCAGTGAAATGGGTATAATAATGATATAAAGATAGTGCTGACTTTAGGGTAAATTGAGACAGCAAACCAAAAACATCCATTAAGTGAGAGCAGGTAATATGGCTTAGAAGCAATATTTCTGGTATTAGAGGTAGAAAAACTATCAAGCCTTGTATATATATATAAAGGAATGATCTATATAATGCAGAAGAAATCATGTAATTCTGCATGTAGCTGTCCCATTTTTCCCAACACCATTTATGGAAAAGTTTCTATCCTTATATCACTATCTTTTAGCTCCATTGTTAACCTTCCTACACTGCTAGTGGAAATGCAAACTGGCCCAACCCATATGGAAAGCAGTATAGAAGAGTTTGAAACATTAAGCATGGAATTGAGATTCATCCCAATAAGTCTACACTTAAGCCTTATCTATCAAAAATTTAAAAACACTAATTCAAAAATAAACTAACATTACTACAGCACTGTTTACTATAGCTGAATGGAAGCAAGCTAGGTTCCCTAGAACAAAGGAAAGAATCAAGCACATGTGGTTTATATACACAATATGCTACTCAATGATCACAAATGATAAACTCATGTTATGTGCAACATAGACAAAGCTTGAAAGGATAAGCTAAGTGAAACAGTCAAAAAGAAAAAGATAAATATCAACTGCTGTCAATATGATATGATATATAAGCTAACTAAATTAATAGTCAGATAAAGACGAGATGAAAATTTAACCTTTGATAGCTGATTATAGAACTGAAGCACCAAAGTGGGAAGGAAGCACAATGGCCTAAGTTGGTGGAATATGGGTGAGTTGGTGGTGGGTACAATATGGCAGTAGCATGTGCTGGGGGCATTCAATATTACCTCAGTGAAAAATAAAAACATGCAGAGCCCTTATGGTGAAATGGATTAGGATCCAGCACTGCAAGCTAGCTGCAGCTGCTTCAGTATGAGTTGGAACCGGCCGCAGTGCTGATCCGCATGGTGCAGCAGACCTCTCCAGGCTCGTCACTGCTCCCCTCAGCAGTGTACTTCGTTGATCTGCCTGTTCTGCTCCCCACTCTGTCTCTGGTGAATCCTTTCATCATCCTTGTACCTCTGGCCTATACCCCAATTCTGTATAAATAAATAAATAAATCTTAAAAATAATGATAAAATAAATTATATAATTCTGTCAGATTTTGAGGAGAAGGGAGGAGGTTGCCTAATATATAGTCATATCATATCATATCATATCATATATATGATAGTTGATGCTTTGCTTGCTTTTTTGGGACTACTTAGTTCATATTCAGAGTCACATGACATGCTATTATTGCAGGTGTTCATTTGGTGCTAAGTATTAGAACGACTCCAGAAATGATCCTGCAAGTCCTTTTGATTCTTTTCCTCCTTGACTTCCCTGCCTTCCCCACCACTGCTTGGTGTAGTTTCCAAAATGAGTCAATAAAATACAGCCTCTGAATTCTGGTTCTGGCCACCTCAAGACAAAGAGAGAAAGGAAACAACAAATGAAGTGTGTGATAATAATTTGAATGGGTTAGGAAAAGGCTAATTAGCTGATAGAAGAAGAATACAAATCACACTAAATAATATAATACTAGAAGGTAGGAAAACCCTGAATGAAGGTAATAGAAAGAGCAAATCTCTAAAATTCAGTATTCTAATGTTCTCATATTACCAAATAAAAACCAGATTTAAAGCCAAATATCTTTGTTACATTCGGGAAGAGATGTTTGGGATTGTGCTTCTTAATGTGGCTTTTATAAAATATTGATAGCAAAAGTTGGTAGTAAATTAATGTTAAAGTGCTCTGAAATCCAATTTGTTGTACATTTATTATAAAACACCACACTCTCTTAGCTACAGTCATTTTCGGTTCGTCTAGGTTTAAATATTAATAAATTCCTACTATCTTGACATGATATGATATTTCCTTCTTTAACTGTTCAGTTCATGCATTATTGATTAATTTACTTACACACTGTCCCAGTGTAGTACTCTAGATATATTTTCCCTGCCATTTTTACGAACGAGTTTCTCACTCTGAAGGTTTAATCAAAAATTAATTGTAGAGCATGGCTTACGCTCAGAAAAGACTTTGCACACAGAGGCTCCCTCCAGAAAAGTGAGATCTCTAATTCTGACCTCTAATACAAACATTCAAAGTCATTTCTCTGCAAATCATTTAAAACCCAACTGCAGTGATGAGGCAGAGTTTTCATTTCTAGTCTGACAATAGGCATTCCATCACGTGTACATCAGCAATTTAACGCTTTTCAAACATCAGACAGAGCCATCAATTAGAATGTAATGCAGATACAGATATTAACTCCTCAAGTTGATGGATATCTGCCTGACACCCTTACTACCACTTTGGACTCATTAAGCTTTTATAAATTTTCACTAAATTCTGCCATCAAGGAGAACAGTATCTGGGTCAAAGGTAGTTAGAGGCACTTGATGTAACAAAAACCAAAAAGTATTTTGGGAAAATTACGAAAGAAATAAGTGTTTGATAGCATACACAATGAAGTATTTTAACTACTTTATTTGATCAAGTAAGTTCTACACATGTACATAATCATTTAGAAATGGATTTATTTAGCAGTATCTTAAGGTAAATAGATACAATTATTTGCAAAACTTAAAATATGTGCAAAATATTATATATATAAATATTTGCAAAATATATATGTATATATACATAAAATTTACATATATATATATTAATCCCTCAAATATAAAATAATAGCGAACTAAAACTAACACTCAATTTTTAGTCAGCATAATTATTTCATGGGTCCCACAAATAATGTAGCTTCCTTTAAAATACCTATGCCCTGTGAGACAAGGATTCATTTTGCCAGAACTTTCAAATTCCCAACCAGAATGATAATTTTATATTATATAAAAAACAGCAAAATTAGTATATCATAAACATAATCAGATGATAGTGCCATTTAAACTTCACACATGTTCTACTACTCATGTGTGATTCATTTAATTTACATATGTTGTCACATTGCATATAATTTTATAGGAGTAATTTTAGAAATATATGTAGTAGATTTCAGCAAGTACCACATGAATTTTTTGTCTAAATGAAATACATTTGGGTATGATAGATCACAGAAATTTGTGCCATTTCTTCAAATATAAATATCTGGCACATTCTCACATTCAACTTGATCTTTTTTCTCCACATTTTCAATGTATTTTATTCATTTAAGTGAGAGTCCCTCCTATTCAGGGCCATGTTGAAGAATAAATTGATTTTAAAATTCAATATATGACATCATTTATCTTTTATAAACAGTTATCCTTTTATAAGCA